GAGGTCCTCCTCTGCCCCCTGGTGAGGTCTACCCCTGCCCCCTAGTGAGGTACTACTCTGCCCCCTTGTGAGGTCCACCTCTGCCCCCTAGTGAGGTACTCCTCTGCCCCATAGTGAGGTCCTCCTCTGCCCCCTAGTGAGGTCTACCTCTGCCCCCTAGTGAGGGCAACCTCTTCCCCCTAGTGAGGTCCTCCTCTGCCCCCTAGTGAGGTCCACCTCTGCCCCCTAGTGAGGTACTACTCTGCCCCCTAGTGAGGTCCTCCTCTGCCCCCTAGTGAGGTCTACCTCTGCCCCCCTAGTGAGGGCCACCTCTTCCCCCTAGTGAGGTACACCTCTGCCCCCTAGTGAGGTCCACCTCTTCCCCCTAGTGAGGTACACCTCTGCCCCCTAGTGAGGTACTCCTCTGCCCCCTAGTGAGGTACTCAGCAGGTGTTGTAGATAAGCTCTTTCAGACTGCCTATGTCTGGTTGTTCATGATGGGAGTTACGTCCACAGCTAATCCATTTATATTCCTTTGTCAATTTTCCACTTATTCCGATTTATTAGAGAAACGCCTAAAACACCCATCACTTTGACTGACAAGTTGGGGGTCCTTCTGGTGGGGGGGCCTGAAAGCTTTCCCCCATTTGCCTTGTGGACAATTAATTGCACAGATAATGCTTGCTAGTTGCTTAAATGACCGCCTGTCTGGAAATGGTGATATTGGTCGTCATGTCAACAATAAGCTGATCGCTGACATCATCAGGATCTATTCCTACCTGCATTCCGTCCAGTAATCTCATTATAGCTGGCAACATGGGGCCCCTGGATGGCCGGCTCATGGAAGAGGTTTTGGAATGCTACCAGTGTAATCAGAGAGCCCCCGACATTAATACTCTGCCCTTATTCAGCAAGGACTTAAAATAACTGCCACGGGGAGCGGCACTGATAACATGTCAGGGTGAAAAGAAAGGGTTGTTTAATTCTTGCACCCTCTTGTACTCCCCTCCCAATTATCTCACTTACAAAATTACATTTTAGCCAATAATCTGGCCTAAGAACTCTGTATTCTACAATCTGTCATATATAGAGCAGACAGCAACATCTTCCAAGCGATGGACTTTCTCATTGAACTGTCATGATATACGTTCCGTCCATGTATGCCTGTTTAGATAGAATTCATTGGAGTGTCAGCGAATAACTCTCGTCCAAACGTGCACAAAACGGACATTACTAATGCAAAAAGGAATCTTCTGTTTCAGCGATGAATCCGATAAGGGGCCGGAGCACAGATACCTGGCAAAACAACAGTGTTGAAGCTCTTGAAAATTCTTTGACACTTAACTGTGGGATAGCGCCAGCAGGCTGTAGTGGTTATGGTGTTTAGATTGCCCCTTCACATACTTCTTACAGACATAGAACAAATGGTATTTTTGTTTAGTAATAAAGGATCCATTTTGTGATAGAGTGTTACAGGTGTCGTCAGGATCCTGTGCAGAGCGACGCAGCATGATGGACACTGCTTGTTTTCTGCAACAATGACCCTCCCGTGAACTCTTGTTTCTTGCAGTTTTGTTTACCCGTAGCCTTTCATAAGCGGTAATTCACCGGCTGAGCAAAAAAATTCCAACTCAGATTATGAAAGCTCAATGCCTGCAGGGCAGGAGAATGGAAAGGGGAGGGATGTTTAGGTCTGAAGGTGGAGGGGGACGTTGGGTAAAAGGTTTAGACCTCCCGTCACTGAGATGATAGTTTACGAAGGACACAGGGGTGTTTGTTTTAGTAGTGTGGAGATCCTAACAGACGGGTGTTTGCTTGGGGCTGTAAGCTCTTTGAATTTCATCAGGATTGAAACACCAAGAGGGGGCTCGCTGTTAGGGGAATAGTCTGGGTTCAGATTGTTCAAAGGCCAAAAAAGGTTTAGCCTTAGCGGAGGCCTAGAAGGGAACACATTAGTCCAAACTGAAACATTTTATAAGAAATATATATATAACCGAATAGTTCCATATTTGGAGAGAGGCTTGGGGAAATTTAGTCATTTCTTGATTGATTCCTTTTTAAAGATGGGGGACGTTGTATTCCGTAGGATATATTGTCTTGAACATTTATTAACAACAACTCTGGTAATTATAACACTACCACAAATGTATACAACACCCAGTGTAGCACTTATAGGGAGAAACATATATATACTTCCCAGTAGTCACTTTCTGTAGTTACAACATGGCATCTCCCATAGAATCTATAAGAAACAAATGTAACCACACATAGTGTAATCTGTATAATAACAGTATTAAGGAAATAAAATATAACATTTCACTCACAAATATAGAGCTGTGCCAGGCTCTATACAATCAGCATAAGGATGCCAATGGTTGGCTATGGAGATATTTCAGATGATCCACAGCAATTATTTTTTCAGCTTAGTGTACCATAAATCCCTCCAGCAGGGTTACCACTATACACTACCGCAATATGTCCTTAATAAAAATATTTTTATTAAGGACTTATTGCATATTGTGGTAGTATAAGTTTTAGTGGTAGTTAGTGGTAGTATAAGTTTTTACAGATGTCCTAATTTTAGTGCTTTATTCCAATAAATGTTTTTTCTGGAATTGCTGTGGATCTTCATCTGAAATATCTCCGTAGCCAAGCATTGGCACCCTTATGCTGATTGTATAGAGCCTGGCACAGCTCTATATTACTGAATGGTATCTTTAATTTAAAAACACTTTTTATTAAGCTAAAGTTTTTTGGGGTGTATTGAGTGTTTCTTTAAGGCCAGAGCAGCCAAACTCAAAATATAACTGACTTAACAAATTTTTCCACTTCAGCAATTTTCATCTTAAATTTAAAATTCAGTTTGAAATCACACTTAAATGAATAGCCATATGTCCCTTTAAGCCTCGAAACAAAACAAAATGCCATCAGAATTGCAAACAAAATAGAAATTAAATGATTACACTAACCAAAAACCAGTGTTTTAAAGGGATTCTTCAGTGCCAGGAAAACTACTGCAGGACCCTCCAGTGCCCCTCTCCCTCCCACCCCCCATCCCAATTTGCTGAAGGGGTAAAACCCCTTCAGTGACTTACAGGAGTCCTGCGCAGTGTACCTCGGCACTGGGTCAGGCTCCACCTACGCTCCTCCCCCGCCGCCGTCAGCCAGCGGGGGTGACCTAATGCGCATGCGCGGCCGTTGGCGGGGGGGAACCTGATGCGCATGCGTGGCAATGGCCGCGCTCGCGCATTAGACCTCCCCATAGGAAAGCATTATACAATGCTTTCCTATGGGGATTTCGGCGACGCTGGAGGTCCTCACATAGCGTGAGGACGTCCAGCATCATTTTAAACACCGAAGTCTCCTCTAGTAGACAGCCACTAGAGGAGGACTTAACCCTGCAATGTAAATATTGCAGTTTTTGAAAACTGCAATAATTACATTTTCAGGGTTAAGGGTAGCGGGAGTTGGCACCCAGACCACTCCAATGGGCAGAAGTGGTCTGGGTACCTGGAGTGTCCCTTTAAGAAAGCAATGTTTTCTGTTAGAGTAATCCTTGCTGTGCTGGTTCAGCTTGGTCAAAGTTTTTTTTAAAAAGAAGCATGTAATGTAAAGGTATTTAAATATTGAGTACAGAGCAAATCATTAACATAAGCGTTTTAAAAGTAAATGTTTAGAATGGCTTAGCTATACTGAATGATATGGTAGATTAGTAGCCCACGTCAATGACTTAGAAAAATAGCCTGAATTTTTGATTCATTTAATCCTCCTTTACTTTGTGGATAGTTTAATTATACAATTTCTTGGTTCCTTAGCTATACCCAGCTAAAACTCAGCTTGAAGCACTGACCCCAAGAATCATCTTCCGTGTACTCAATATTTACATACCCGTACCATCATTTGGTTTCCTAATCAATAATGATAGAGTATGCCCACTTTATGACTTTATGTGTCTGATATCATCAGATTTTCTGGGCTTGTCATGGATAGTACTAATCTATTAGCGGTTGCTATTCTACCATTAAATAGGCTGGTACTCATGAGCTACTGAAGATGTTTTCCTGCTACTATTTAACATATAGATCGCGTATA